AAGAAAGAATTGTAACTAGCTCCTCAAATTACAACCACAAACGTTTAGCTACAAACTGATTAAAAACTTTTACACTCATTTTCCAGAAAGCATAGGGATTTGTGTGTCTTTATGTTGTTTGTTTTCTGTTCCTGAATGGGGCCAAGCCCAAAACCTAAACAGCAGACCAACACAGGGCGCCTCATGGCCCAGTTGTCATGGCTTGTGGTCAGTGACCAAGCGTGGACAAACTGAGGCCACTCAGGTACGTGCATCACTTCAGGACAGGACAGGAGAACTAGCACTAGAGGGAAAATCTGAGATCCTGAGAGATTTGCTTAGCTTTCTGCTTTCACTTCCTCATTTCCTCTTTTCGCCTGCCTTTCGCTTTTTCTTTTTTATGTCCTCACAGATGGTGTTCCTCATTTCTAGAAAGAGTGGAACCTGACTGTTTGTATTTGCCTATTTTTCTATAGTTTTCAGTATCCAAGAAACACTTTAAAAATCTCCTGCTTTAACTTAATTGAGATTACATTTAAAGAGTGAAGATGAATATGCAAATTATGTTAACATTTTTAGTAATCCAACATTTTAAGGGATTAGAAAGTAGAATTAATTGGATTATAAGAACATTTGAAAAGAGGTGGAATGGAATGACCCCTTATTCTGGGAGTTCTCCCAACAGTTTTTGGGTTTTGATTGGGTTTTTTGTTTGGCTCAGTTTAGGGGTTTTGGTTTGTCTGTTTCACACGTAAAACACAGTGGTTTTTCTGTTCCTAGTTAGCTTGCTGTGATCTGCATAGACATTACCTTGTGTGGTTCCAAAGTTGATGGCACGATTCCCAGGGCAGGTGCCGTTTATGTATACAGCTTATCAATGCCAAGCACACTGAGAGTTCAGAAGAGTCTGCCAACACCCTGATATCTAAGCTATTGCCACTTCAGTTGTAGCTTCTTAGATGTGAGCTCTTGGGGTCTGTGCTAAACATTCTTCCCACAAGCAGTTGTTTTTAGAGACTCGAACACCTCATACCTGAGGGAGGCAGTAAGCATCTGGTTGTGTTACATGAACAGCAAAAGAAAAGCAAATGAATCCCGAACTGTTTCAGTTTGTCACTGGTTCAGTCTCACAGCCCAGCTTTCTTCTTCATCCACAGTGGCTCATGAGTCTGTTCTTAAAACTTGAAAGTGAATCAGAAATCTAAGTTTAGAATTCAGGCAAAGGATTATACTTAATTTAGAACTTAAGTGAAGTCATTCACTGTCTTTGGACATGACTAAGATTGTCAGAAAATGAACACCCATCAAGAATTTATCTAAATAATTTGGGGCCAGGAACAAAAGTCTATTTGTTTTGACAACTGTATAGAAATGATGATCTTTCTGATGTTTCCTATTCTGAACTCTCAATTTTGTGAAACGGTTCATTTTTCTCAATGCTGTTAAAAAGAACTATCCACTATCCTAGATGATTTTTTTTTCTTAGAGCGAGTTCAAAATTCAGGGTAGCTTGAAACTTTTATCAAAATTGTTCTAGTATTAATAAAAACTTGGGAGTCAGATTTTGGGATAAAAACCTGATAGATCCAAAGATCGGAGTGATGATAAGCTGACCCTGCTTGTCTATGCTTCCCAGTTCAAAAAAGCCCTTGAAATCTCCAAATCCCTCCCTACTGCTTCCAGTGTCTCTCTCTATCTGGCTCCCTTGGTCCTCTGTACCTCTATGGTTAATTCCAATCAGCTTGTCACTGACTCTGCCCCCTATTCAAGGTTAACTTTATTAACAGTCTCAGAGTGTCAGTGCACACAAATATCCAATAATAGTAGCTATGATTCTTCATTAATTTATTTAAAATCAATGCTTTAGTTGTTTAAATTGTACACATTTGTCAAAAAAATCATATAACTATGCCCCATGCAAGAGTACTTTTAAGAAAAGAAAAAGAAGAAATATGTCTATTATTTATCCAATTTAATGTATTTACCTTCATTTTCTTTGCATATATTTTTGTTCCATGAATGGATTGCATTGTGCTCAAAACTAATTATCCATAAAATGTAACATATAAAGACTGTTTCATTTTACTTAAATTCCTGGGCTTTCTTTTTCTCTTTTAGAGTGCTTAAAACTGATGAAAATGACAGTCTAAATTTATAATTTCTTACTTTGTGCCTCATTGATGAATTTACTTTGGGCCAACATAGCCTGAAAAGATGTTTGCTTATGATCAAAACCTGTATTTTCATCAAGAGATATTCTTGGACTGTCATAGTGGCCACACCTTTAATCCCAGTGCTAAGCATTCAAACAACCAAGCCACAACCCTGACCCATGACAAATTATTTTGATGAAGTAAAATCAGTTAGAAGACAATAAACAACCAAGACAGTATCAGGTGTAAACATAAGTTGTACATATCATTGGCCAACATTAGTGATGTGGGAATATTGGGGTGTCTTTGAGGAGACCAGGGCCATTCTCAAAGACCAAGATCCCAGAAAGTAGAATGGCTACCAATGGGGCCCCAAGCCAGTGGCATTCGGGTTCTTGTCTAGAGAATTCAAAGAATGAACTTTGAGAACCACAGAGGGTAAGTTTTAAGGAGAAGTTTATTATACATTCCCTTAACAGAAAGTGAAGGCAGAGCTCCTATGTAGCAGCAGGAAGCGTCCCTGGGGTTAGGACACCATCAAGCTACTAGTTCTGGGGACTTTTTTGGTTTTTCAAGACAGGGTTTCTCTGTGTAGCCTTAGCTGTCCTGGAGCTAGCTCTTGTAGATCAATCTGGCCTCCAACTCACAGAATCCTCCTGCCTCTGCCTCCTGAGTGCTGTGATTAAAGGCATGTGTTACTACCACCCGGCCTGGAGACCTTTTTAAAGAACTTAAGGTACACAGTGGGCTAAAGCATAGGAAGAGGATGAGCTAGTCAGTCCAGGTGGCCCAGCCATGAGGTGTTCGGTACCCTGCCGAGTTTCAGTCGAATTCTCATGTGCAGCTTCCAGGCAAAGGGAAAAGAAAATGAGCCAGGAACTAGCATCCTAAACCCCCACCAAGGCCATCTCTGCACTGCTGCTTTGGGGTCTCTGCCCTACTGACCAGTTTCTAGTTCCTATTCTCACCACTGCCTGGATGAGTTATGTCTCCACTTGGAGCTTGCTTTTCTGGATAAATGAGAGCAAGGGCCAAGTGCAGGAAGAACCTTTATAGGTAGCCAGGCCAAGAAGTGGTTTATTCTATTCCAAACACTGCTTCTGTTTGCTACAAAGTGTAACATTCACCCACAAAAATTGGAAGGCACAGGGACAACCTTGTTCAGAGCCCTGTACCATCTGGCAATGTGGCCCAGCACAGCTGAGAATGTAGTTCAAAAAAATCATAAACTTCCTTAAAAGGGAGTTTTTCTGTGATTGACGTTTTAACTCCATTGCACTGTTCTCGTGTGAACTTTGTAAGTGACAGTGTCATGAGAAATTGTCAGGAGGTTGGGCATGCTTGCAAATTCTCAACACTTAAAAACATACATGACTAATGTAATGACTACAAAATACATTGTGCTGAACATATTAGTTCACTGTAACTTGTTTCATGTTAGTCTTAAGGGGTTCTAATGTAAGAAAGACTTAAAGCCCTCACTTCACAACATAAGGCAATATTCCTCTCCTGTAACATGAAATCAGCACAAGTTTATACTGCTAGCTTTATTGGCCCAATGTTAGCCTTGGTAGCTCTTTGATACGAGTCCTTGATTAGAGAACAAACCCATTTTGTCTAATGTTTTCTAGGAAGAGTTTGAAGTCAAACATGTAAGTTTCTTGTATGAAGTTAGCTCCCTGTAAAACCACTGCTCCAGATGGTTTCATTGCAACCAACCTGAATGTAACCCAGATGTGGTTCCCTCTGACTCTTATCCATACTAGCTGAATGGTACCAGCATTACCCATAGCCCATCCATAGTAGTCTACAATGAAGCAACCCATCACCCTTCACATGGGAAGAAAGTTCTTAGCTAATTTATGCCTGTATATGTATATACATGAACAGTGGTATTGTGTACAAGAGAACAGCTGAACAAGATTAAAATGGCAAACCAAAAATCATAGGAGATTGAAAAATAGTGTGTCAAATGGTACATGCCCTGCTCTAGCTAGAATGTAACATTTTTTTCACCTCTTAGAACAAGTGAGAGAGAGAGAGAAGGAGGGAGATGGAGACAGGGAGGGGGGGGGGAAGAAAGATATCTCATATCATTGTAGTAAGATATTGTTGACTTCCAGGTCAATATTGACACTTGAGTCAAACAATTCCATTTTCATGAATGATGCTTAAGAAAACAAGTAAGCAGGAGAGACTCACTTCACGCATTTAAAAGAAAACATAGTTTACTAGAAGAAAAATTGTTAAGGAAAATTCTAGTGTGTATTTTGCATTTAAAAATCAAATGTCTTTATATTAACCTTCCTATTGTTTCCATTTTGTTTGAGGGACTTGAACTGTGTTGAGAATTTTTTTTATATCCACTCCTGGTATCCATTACCTGTTATACTTAGTAGAGCAACCCCAGTAGAACAAATATCATGAGATTTGCCTCAGGGGTGTGCTTTTTACCCATAGGAAATCACTCTTGAAGTAGCCCACGTGTAACAGAGATAGTTGGTCATTAACTTTACTTTTGCAATAAACTTTGTTAAAATGGTTGTGTCTGCAATAATTCGTAGGGTTTGTGTAATAGATGAGTGATTGAGTAAACTTGTTGGACAATCTAGTTAGACAAAGCTGCTTCTTGAAATGTGATATAAATTACTTTTGTTTTAGGGTTATCTGAGAATATATCTGATAGGCTGGCTTCTGTGAAGAAGTAATTAATGTTGGCTAGGTCCCAGGGAGAGTGTTTTGTTAACTTGAATAAATTACAAGATCAGCAGTAACGTCACAACTTGTGACAGGTAGAACAGAATTTTAGTAAATTTAGATGTTCTATTAATAGAAACTATATTAATCCACAATTTGTTTTTCTTTTAGCTCACAGGAAGATGAAAGACCTTTGTCACCTTTCTATCTGAG